TAGATCAATGGGAAGTGAGATGTGGAGTGGAGATTTGTTCAGCCGCGAATTAAGCAGCACAACGAGTATGAGAGGCACATTGTGTTACATAGCACCAGAGTATGGAGGCGGTTGCTGTTACTTGATGGAGAAAGGCGATATCTACAGCTTTGGAGTACTGATTCTAGTGATAGTCTCAGGTAGGAGGCCTTTACACGTCCTAGCATCGCCGATGAAGCTTGAAAAAGCGAATTTGGTGAGTTGGTGTAGGCAATTGGCTCAGTCGGGAAACATTCTTGAGCTGGTAGACGAGAGATTGAAGGATGTGTATAACAAGGAAGAAGCAGGACTGTGCATTAACTTGGCTTTGGCTTGTCTGCAGAAAACGCCCGAGTTACGGCCTGATATTAGTGAAGTTGTGAGGATCTTGAGAGGGGAAATGGAGATTTCATCGACTGCTTTCGAGTTTTCTCCATCTCCTCCGTCAAAATTTTATGGAAGTAGATCAAAGCGTAGAAGTTCAAAACCGGGCAATGCAGAGTAGTTGTTCAGAGATTTAATCTGATCTTTTTTTCAACGAAATTGTTGGATGTAACTTAAAAGAGAGTTTTAGCATTTGAGAATTGTATTATGTTGTAATGTTTGTAAACTATGAACAAGGTGCAAATTTCATCAAAACTAGGGCTAAAATGTTCGTTTGTGTTTAATGACCATGCTTTTCAATGATAAGCAAGTTAAGTTTTAAAATAGCAACTAAGCAATTAGATTTTAAAAGCTTGCAAATTAAATAAAGTAAGCAAGTCATAGTCAAAGGACCCATAGCTTTACAGATGATGGAAAATGATCTCTTTAAAATGTGGCATGAAAAGTGCAACACGCAAAAGAATCCAAGGCCATATCAATTATCATGGTTCATGAGTCATGTCACAGAGGAATTATTAAAAAAAACCAAGTCCAAGGATAAAAGAACACAGAAAAACGACAAAATGGACAATGAGAGCTCTGAAGATCTTGCCTTTGAATACATTGAACTCAGCCTTTGCCTGTTACGCACGCGGTCTGGTTCACATCATAATACATTGAACTCAAAATTCATGTACTCGAGCGTGCAGCGAGCATGAAAACTTAGTGTGTATATATAACAATAAAGAACCAGACTAGTTTCTGATGTCTTTCATGTAATCCAGAGAATGATACCTGAACCAGCATAGTTGCAAATTATTATTTTGCAGTTTTATGGATATTCTCCTCTAGGAATACGCGAAGGTAACGATCACCAAATCTGGTAAATGGAAGAAGAGATTACCTGAAAAACTGCACAGAGGATGTCGTGAAAGATACAAACCAAATGGAACATATGGGCAGGGAATAAAGCTTCTGCTCTCGTGCAATTATCATAGTTCCGAAGAGTTGAGACCACGAGGTCTGAGAATGAGTCATTACTTGAGTGATCACAATCTTCAAGTCTTACGCCGTATCTGATTCTTTTTTGTATATTGATCGTTGACTCATATAGCCTCCCCGAGAACCAACTTTCTGAAAATCTTTTCTCTTGCTTTTTCTGACCCCCTTCACCTTTTGCTCCTCAAGAAGTTTCTGGAGCTTAGGATTTCCTGAGAATCCTTTTGATTTCATCTCTGAATACATCTCTTTGGCCTTTGCAAGCCACCCACATGTCAAAAGGCCATGTACTGTAGCCAAGTAAAGAGCATGATTAGCCACTATCTCAAAACGATCCATTTCTCCCCAGATTTTCAAAGCATTTTCCGGTTGCTTTTCCTTAAACAATTTCCCAAGAATGAGGAGAAAGGTGTTTTCTTTAGGACCTAAACAACAAATCTTCATTTGGCCTAAAACCTCTAAAGTTTGATCGAAATTTACAGCTTCGAGGAATGCATGAAATGTATCAACTGTTAGACTTATGTTCTCGCTAATCATGGTTGCCAATACATTCCTTGCTTCGTCCAGCTTTCCGGACTCACAAAGGGGCCGTATCATCGAGTTGTAGGTGACTGAATCTGGCTTTAGTCCTTCCTCCTTCATCTTTCCCATAAGCTTCATAGCTTCATCAAAGCAATTCTCACGGGTCAGGACATAAACCAGAGAATTGTAAACTTCAATCCCTGGAACCAACCCTCGTTTCTTCATTTCATCGTATAGCCTGAGAGAATCGAAAAGGATCCCAACTTTAGAGAAGCAAGAGATCATGTGACTGTAAGAATCCTTGTTAGGCGTAATACAATAATTCCCCATCTCTCGCCAAATCCTCTTTGCTTCAGTCACGTCAGTCCAAATGTTACACCAACCATTAAGAATTACGTTAAACCCCTCAACATCCACCGGAAAGAGCTTTTTGCTTGCAAGCATGAACTCTTCAGCTTTTTCAATATGCCCATGTCTACACAATGCATAAAGCAATCCTTGAAATGCTTCTTCATCAGGAATGTGCTTAAACTTATCCATGATATCGAATGTCCGAATAGCTTGGCTAGTATCATTAGCAGCAGCATATCTACATACAACCAATTCATTACCTAGTAAAAATCTTTTCTATTATCACAACAAAATTCAACAGAACAATGAAGAAGAACGAAACTCTAACCTGTCCATCATGAGAAACATGGCCTTTCTAGTATCTCTTGAAACATTAAACATATCACGAATCAAACACCAAGCTATGTTGAACTTTTGATGATTACCCAAAACCCAAATCATCAAATCACAAGCTTTCTGATCATCACAACCACGTTTCTCTCCCCATTTGAATCCCAGAAACGCAAGCCTCCACTCATCTCTTAATTCCCAGATTAGAGAATACAAAGACTCATGATTGAGATCAAAAGATGACTCTTCTAGTGAAGCCATAGCATCAGCTTCCGACTCTAGCTCAGAGACTTGTCTGACTAATTCAACCAGACCATGTTCAAGCGGAGCAAGAGCTTGGTTGATATCAAACGTTTCGGAGAGAGTTTGAGTGGAGAAACGATTGAAAGAGACGAAATTTGGGACATGGCTTAAGATGTGAGAATGCACAAGACCTGCTCGATGAAATGCTGAAGAGAAGTAAGGATTTTGGAAAGATGGGATCGGAGAAAAAGATGTCGACACTGCACGTAGCAGATATTGTGGCGTTCGCGTTAGTTTCCTACCAATCGCAACGATGGCAGCCATAGCTCATCGGAAGTGAAGAAGCGAGGAGATGAAATGATAAAGTTAACGGGGCTAGAAGCTAATAATAAAAAGTTATGTTAGTGGGCTTAAGTAAGGCCCAATTTAGATGTTTGTAAAACCTTTGCAAAGGTGATCTTTTTGACGGAGAAATCCAATTTCCTGATAAACCCTAGAAGTCGAATTCTGAAAATTTGTGGAGATCGAGATGGGAAATGAGAAAAAGAGCAATGGAGCTTCGAATTTGGGAGGAGGAGGAGGATTTAGGGCAAAGATGGAGCATTATGTGTACAGTGGTGAAAAGAAGCACGTTTTAGCTGGGATCGGGATAATCACCATCATCTTTGGAATCCCTTGGTATCTAATGACTCAAGGTTCGTTTTCCAGTTTTCTGGGCGATTTAGATTGAATATTACCTCTTTCTGTTTTGGATTCCGAGAAAACAAGTGAGAATTAGAAAGAAAGTCGAGATTTTTAGGTTGAAAGTTTCATTTTTGATTCGTAAGCTGCTAGATTTAGAATCTTAGGATTCAAACGGCGGATTTGAGGATGAATCACAATGTTTTTGTTAAGATCATAGACTTGGATGATCACAATCCTACTGTGTTTGCCAGATTTTCACATAATGATCACAAGTTCGAAGTCATCAGTAGCAGAGAGTGTTTGTTTGGTTTTGCCTAATTTGGTTGTGTGAACATTTGGTATTTTCTCTTGGGTAATGTTTAGGCTAATTGTTGGTAAATCTGGTTTCTTTTCAGGATCAAAGCATCGGTCTCACCAAGATTACATGGAAAAAGCCGATAAAGCTCGAAAAGCACGTCTCTCATCCTCCGAAAAGTAATATTTTTCTCCCATGTAATCCTTGTTGCAGACTCTAGTCAGATACATGGTGTGAATGATCATACACTGTTTTCCATGTCCATAGAAACATAGCTCAGTAATGTCTGAGCCAGTGTTCTTCAGTTCAGATATGTATCATTTCACACTGTACTGAGGTTTCTATCCAATAAATGAGAATATTTTTAAACACAGATAATGACAAGGTTTAAGACTTTAAGTAGAATTGCTCTAAGTTAAATAGAAACGGTATACTTGTCTCGGCAGTTAATGTCCTCATAGAGGCATGAGTCTATCTCAAAATACAACCCCGAAGATGGCCACAATGAATGTTGCAGTAGTTAAGAGCAGCTCAAATTGGATCAGCTGATTCCGCACTTAAGGTTGTTAGTTACCAATTGAACTGTGGCTTGCCTCACGGAGCTGCTCGATACGACGATGGCTTGGAATTTTGGTTTGCTTCACGGAACTGCTCGATACGACGATGGCTTGGAATTGTGGTTTGCCTCACAATCATTCTAAGATGATATTTACTGCTCACAAAATAAAATTTTAAGAAAAAATGCACTTGCTGTAAATACGATTTTTTTGAGTTTGAATAAATTATACAATTCAATTAAAAAAAAAAATCTCTTATGTGAATCGAAATGAATGAAGTAAATCGTTCCTAATATCACTGAATTCAACGGATAAACAAAGCTCAATTCTTAATGGGCCAAATATTTTAATTTAGCCATACTTTAATATTGGCTCCTGAAGAAACAGCAAGTCCCTCTCGCTATTTTATTCGCAACGATATTTTCATAACAGAGGAGTACGAGAGGTAAATCGGTGCAGCTAACATAATCGAACATGTAAGAGGATTTGTCTGGCTTTTGTTTTGTATTCTTTACATGTTCTGTCTTGTAATCTTGGTTTTGAGACGAATGGTTTCTGAGTTTAGAGAAGAACCTTGTGCAATATGTATTTTTCTTCTCTACAGAACAAAAACTCTCTTCTTGATCCTCACAATCTCATCTTCTCTAGTCATGTTTTCATTTTTTGATTCAAGTTAAAGCTTCATTCTCATAAAATTTCCTATATAACACTGTTTTTCATCTTGTGAAGGTCATAGATGATTAATATGTTAACATAAGCAAAGACATAAACTGTAATAGAAATCTTCTACTTGTCGACGCAGTTAATGTCTTCACAGGGGCATGAGTCTCCTTCGTTTGTAGAACCAGACAAATGCCAAAAATACAAGTAGGCCACATACTCCAGTAATGGTCAAAACCCATTTGAAAGCACCAGCTTGTTCAAAGAAATCTATCTCAAAATTCATCCCAAAGATCCCGGCTACAACCCCGAAGATGGCTACAACGAATGTTGCCGTAGTTAAGAGCAGCTCGAATTGGATCAGCTGATTCCGCACGTTATCCTGCAAATTTCAGCAGACTCTTATGGTTTTGCTAAGCAAATAAGGTATAGCTGTGATCACAATCTTAAGGTAGTTAGTTACCAATTGAATGTTGATGAAATCCTCTGTATCATCGATGTACTCCTTTAACTGAAGAGTAAATAGAGATGATTAAAACTGTTGTTGAAAAGAGAATGAATTAGCGTAAAGGAGTGGTTATTATGTACCGAGGTTAGCTTGTTGAGAGTGCTATCGATGACAACAAAGTACGCTTCCAGCAACATCTCTAGTTCCTCTATATTCTCAGTTGTGTCTTCTGAGCTTCTTGCACTGTCATGCCGGCTCCTTACAATGCTCAAGCTTTTCTCAAGTCTCCGGGCATCGGGAGGAGAAGAAACAGGAGAAACTGGTGCAGAAAGAGAAAAACAATCATTTGATCGGTAACCATGTACGGACTGTTCACCGTGTAAAGATCCTTCCATTCTCTTCTTCTTCTCTGTTAGATACATTTCCGCCATATCACCATCATCATCCATAAGCTGTTCAATCTCATCCCGGACCTTCTGAACTCTTCTTGTCAATGCTACAAGTCTGCTCTTTAGTCTACGCACACGCTCTAAGTTCAAAGTACTGATCTTTGAAGTAAGCTCATCTAATAACGGGTACGCCTCAATCTCCAACTCAGAAGCCTAAATGCGTAAAAGTTCAAATGTAAGCCCAATGATAACAAACCAAATTCAGTAAGTTCAGAAATGATGCCTAACCTGGGAATCAAGGAAGGTACAAGCGGCTTCGAGGGCAACTTCAAGAGCTCTAAACTCGAAAGGTAAATAATCAGGAGACGAATTCTGAAACACATTATCTAAACTCCTACTTCTCCTCCTGCTCAATTCGAGGCTATCCTGATTCCAAACCTCACCCACAGCACTCGCCTTTAGTCTTTGTTGCAGCTCAACCACATACCGAAGCACATAGTTGTCGAGGGAATTCAAGAGCAAAACCTCATCTGCAGTAATAATGCAACGGATCTGCTCTAAGTTTACAACAATAGCCTTCTCTCGGCCGAGAATAGTTGACGGATACACAAACACAGGATCAAGGAGCCTTAAATCACGAGCTGGTAAATCGCATCTACGCATCATTGTGAACTTATCGACCTCAATGACCTGTGTATTGGCAAAAGTATCAACACGAATCCACGACTTAAGACCTTGTCCACGCTTCTTAAGACCCAAAACATCAACTCCAAGTAGAGTTTGTCTCCCTGATGCAGAAGGCCGAGATCCTCCATCTCCCCTGAGGTTTATAGCTGAAGCTGGTCTTGGAGGAAGCAAACGCTCCTTGAGCTCAGACATTGTTGCCAATCTCCAGATACTACAAAACCGAACAAGTACAAGGTTGAAATATTACAAGATCTTATTGCTCTATCTAATGCAGAATCAAGAACGGAAATTTAGGATCAAGACTACATGCCAGTAACACAACGGATCAAAAGTGAGAATTTTCAAACCTCCAGTTGAAGAAATCAAGAACGATCTTTGTGTTCTTACTCTATACTAGGCAACTGTCACAAGAACACGAAGAACCAGCCTCAGAAAAAATGATCAAAGATCGAAGATTGGGACACAAAATCAAAAATTTCAGAGGACTAACAAAACAAATCATACACTACAAGGCGATGATCAAACAAAGATTCAGAGTTTGAATGACCCACCAGTCAATCAAATCGGATTGGAACCCAGAATCAGAGAGATCGTCTCGAAACCATAAAACAGGCAAAAATCACCAAAAAGGACTCAAATTGTACAGCAGAATTCACACAATTTCTCAACGAGAAACCCTAAAAACAAGAATCGATCTTAATCGAGATGATGATCGCCGAAATGAGTTCGTTGGATACTTAACTAATTTTGCTTTCGAGTGAATCGCGAAGATGCAACAAAAAAAAAAGGAAGCATCCATCCCTTGTGGGCGAAAATCACATAAAAAGAGAGGTTTAAAACCGAAATACAAACCAATTCAGTTTGGTTTAGACTCAAATTTTACCGGTTTAACACTTAACTATCACATTAACCACTCGAAAAGTTGGGTAGATATTTAATGTTGTCTATTTAATATGTACATAAACTCAGTTATTAAATAGTCATACTATCAATTATTGATCCAAGCGTAGCTATTTAAAGGAAATAATATGTCAAATGTAATGACCGGTTCTGGAAATTGTTTCTAGATTTTGAAGAGACCAAATCAAATTATTTGAGAACGTGCAATTTT